TAGGTTTTCCTGCTTCAACCTGCAGTGGGTACAAAAATCCTATCTTACATGTGCTATGCATATGCACATGTTAGCAGAATGTATTTAGAAAGGGAGGATAGGCTCTATCAGTTTAAGCAGTGGTAAACTAATGAGCATGACGAGTGACACTGGCCACATTCACACAGCATGGCAAAACCATAGTTAATCGTTTACCATTTAAGTGTCAATCTTGGCCATTTTGTTCCCAGGTTGACAAGCTCCATCTGCCCCTCACTTCCCTCTACAGCAGCCTTTCTCAATCTGTGGGTCCCCAGATATTGTTGAACGACAACTCCCATCACCTCTAGCTAGCAAGGCCAGAGCTCAGGGATGACGGGCATTGTAGTCCAACAACATCTGGGGACCCACAGGTTGAGAACCGCTGCTCTACAGCATGTGCAGAAACTGCCTTCTTGACCCACTATTGGCCTCATCTGCTCAATCTGCTGGAGCCTTTCTTCACACGCAGGAGAAGTCCCTAACTCACCAAGGGCTTGAGACCCATCAGCTACCCTCACCTTTCAGCTGGCCAGTCAAAGCTATTTCCGGGGTATGGCCACTGTTACATCACATATAATGAGCGGGCTGCTTATAAATCTTTTGTCAATAGCAGATGGTGGTGTGAGTGGAGGCACTTGTCTGACCTGGCAAGTGAGTCACTGCTCCTTACCAGGAGGGGGAGAGGAGAGGCAACAGGGAGGCATGGTGCAAAAGCACCCGCAGAGCGCTGCACCACCCTTGCCCTTCCTTATCCTGGTAAGCAGCAGTGGCCCACCTGCCAGGAGGTCATGTCTCTGCTCCAACTCACGATTTGCTACTGTCTTCTATGTAGATCAGGAAGAGACTCATTTGATTAAGAAATCAGCCAAGTGTGCCTAGTCTATGAAGATTTGCTACTGGTGGTCATACAAACCGACACCCATGCTCATTTTGGCAGTACCATATACCTTGAAAAGCTTTTGCTGTAAGGGTGGCTTTCTGAGAGTTCCACTACCGTTGCTTTTGCTGTTGCCATGGGATGTGCTTCCACGAGGGACAAATGAGCTCAGAATTCCTCCTTCTGCCCTGAACCTGTGCACCCCTGTTTCTACCTTATCCTCCTCCGTAAACCCAACATTGAATAACTAGTTCATGCACTTTATATTTCTAAGCACATGCACATAGTCTTTATAAAATAAGTACTTTTTTAATGTCAAGGATTTAAAATGGTACATTGCTTAGAAAATGCACAGGCTACAAGGTCGTGAACCTGCACTAAGGAGAAAAGGAAGACTGTGACTGAAATAGAAATGTGTCTTGCAGACAGGAGAGGGATATTATCGTGGCTGTTTTCCAAATGTGAGTCACTGAGGCAAGAAGGGATTAGGCCACAACATATTTCTGTTATTTCTGTACAGGTGTCTTTTGACATTCTGCAACATGTTACATTTGCATCTCATCCATCTGGGATGAGACGTGCTGCGTTGAGAGACAAGCTCAGGATTTAGACGTTGAGCTGAAGAGTACTTTCCCTTCCCTTTTATACCTGATGCCAAATATACATATATTATATCTAAAAATATTGTATTTTATATACAGGTTACTTTGACAACCCTCTTTGATTAGCCACCAGGGACATAATTATGTAGCATGAGCATAACATGTACAAAATATGTCACATTGCTGCTCTGCTCCAAGACAGTGTGTTGAATTCTTGACATTGATGGTGGACTTGTCTCAAGTTTGGAATCACACACATAGTAACCTCTTGTTGCAAATTAGTGAGATCCGGTGAGGTCTCTGTAAGTGTTTACTTGGCACAGACAGGTGAATACTGTGCTGGATTCAGAGAATGGGGCATAGACCAAGGAAGATGTTAGAATAATGAGGTATGGGTGAATGACAATGCAATTCATCAGGCTTACAAACTAAAAAGGAATACCGTGGCCAAGATGTCCTCAGCGAGTTCTCTCATCCACATTGCCCTTGCTGTTGTCTGTTTGCTTGGAGAAGCCATATGTCCCACTTTACAGAAGTCAGCCATCTATTTGAAAGGCTGTCTGGTCTAAGTCCCACTGAAGAGAAAGGGCTGTAAGATGGGAGTGGAGGGACCTTGAAGTTGTCCATCAACAGTTAGCAGTACCTCGACAGAGAAGACCGAAAACAGGTCACTTGGTTGCAGTCTTCCCCACTAGGGCAAGACATACTGCATTGTAATTTAAATCATTATTTATAAAGGTACACCTTTCAATCAAATTAGCATATGCAAATCTATACCCTCTCTTGTGTCCTTTTTTGGGTGATGCATTTTCTCTGTTTTGGTGATGCTTTAGTGGCCCAAACTTTACCCAGTTAACAGCACTATTCATTAAGAGGGGAAAAGGCAGGCAAATGAGGCTAATACACCTCCTTTTGGTGTTCACTGGTTTAGAGAGGATAAGTCAACAGGCAGCAACAGCAAAGAAGAGTCCAGGGTCTATGGTGGTCAGCAATGGGGCATGGTAGGAGCCTGATGAAGCCAAAACCTGACACTAGCCAAGTAAAAAGATCAGACACACATGGGGAGTGGAGCAAAAAGGGAGATGAAGATCAATTTGGCAATGCCAGAATGACATGCAGAGTTGTGAACAGGAAATGTTATATTTGGGACCAGGGGCTGATCTTCCCTTACCATGCTGAATGGATGCTTCATTTGAATGCTTTGTAAACCTCACTGTATTTACTTGAAAGGAAAGTTCTGTTCATTCCTACATATATGCCCTTCACAGACTCTGTCTGCACTTGATTGCTGTATATGTGTCCTGGGTTCACCCGCAAACATTCATTACTTAGGGAGCAACCCAAACCAAAGAGTCACCGGGATGAGTGGAGTTTGAAATAGGTGGATCTCTGGTTGAGCCAGCTAAGCCTGGGTTCAGTCAGGGCTATGCTGGCTAAAGTCCTTCATTCCAGCTCATACCAGCATAAGTCCTCTAACTCATCTTAGGCTGAAATAAGTCCCTCACAAAGGGATTAGGCAGGAGGAGACCTACCCCATTCCAAACGCCATTCAGCTTGGTCACATGACCTCATAGCCCAGCAGGAGTTACAGTGGCAAAAAGGGTGGTTTTATTTTAAGGGCTTATTTTCCCTCTGCTAGGCTCAGGCCAGCTTAGTTAGCAGTAGCCCCACTCCTGAACCGAGTTTGGAATCAGGGATAGCTACACCACCATAAACCACCCCACTATAAGTTACACTGGCTTCCTATCATTTGGATCTGCCCAGGGGCTCTTTGGATGATTTCAGAATTCTGTTTAACCACTTCCTGCCACTGGCAATGCCTGCCTGCCTACAGGCCCACCAGATGCAGTCGAGTGGGTGCCTCGTTTGCACACTAATTCCCAGGTTTTATGTTGTATATGGAATGTGCTGCTCTATACGACAGACATTGAACTTACTGTGTGTGTGTTATGCAGATGGGATGCCCACACATGAACATCGGTTGGATCTAGATATTGGACGGGTAGACATGCATGGCCCTGCTCCGCAGCCGAGTGTTATCTTGTAAGTTTCTACCAGCCCATTATGACTGCCGCACCCTATGATTCCTTGCAAGTGTGGAAGAATCATCCAAGGTATAAAACCATGGAGAGAACTGTCACATCCCTTCCCATACAGCATTTTGCAGTGGAATCAGTTCACACATTCAGTTGCCAGTCATTACACATAGCGATTTAGTGTAGTGAAATCAAGCGATGATCATGCATATGTGAAACAGCCATCTGTTTCATTGGTTTCAGTAGAAAGCACTTCCAAGTAATTGTGCTGAAGATTGCAGTCTTGATGGCCTAATAAAACTTTAAGCCCTTTAGAACTGACCTGTAGAGCTTTCCAGAGCATTGCAATGACCCAGATAAACAAGTTCTCATTATTCAACACACAGACCCTTGCATTTCTTACTGTAGTTTGACCCGAAGCAACGATTGGCCTCCAAGATGCAAATGTTGCAAATCTCAGTCAGATCTAACCACATGGGAGTGCATTCAGAAGATGTCTAGCATGCAGAAATAACAGGGAAATACTATCTTGGGGTGCTTTACTAGGCTCAGATATTACTGTGGGAATTGAGACATTGCAATGGAATCCTGAGCATATTTATTCAGAAGTAAATCACACTGAAGTCAATGGTGCTTGCAAAACTGTGTGCGTTAGTCAAAACTGCATACAAAAATGTGTATATCTGCATGGAAATGTTTCTGCCACTGCAAAAGGAAGAGGAGCCCATCATTAACAGGCATGGCAGAGACATCTAGCTAAACCTCATTTGGGGCTCACCCACCTCATTGTGAAACAAGCAAGCATGCCTTCAGAGTAACACAGTTACTAATAAATTAACCGATAGCTTCTAAAATATAGGTAGGATCATATAGACAGTGATCCCATCTACATGAGAGTGGCTCAATGGAATCTGGTGCACAGCACTTATTTAAATATGAACTTATTTTATAGGGAATTGCACTGGATCATATACAAATAAATGAGAACTGGAAATTTTAATGCAGTGGAACAATACTGTAGTGGTAGCAGCAGCAAATAAATTAATAACTTCAGACTAAAGGCTATGTCGGCCCTTTGCAACTTAACCAAGATGCAAGTGTTGCTACTCTAAATGGGGCTCACTCACTAGTAAGTGCATTTAGAATGGCATTCGTAAGCAGGCAACCGAGCTTCCTGGGGCAAAGTGTCCCAAAATAATGCCCTTTCTCTGTTTCCCATCAGCCAAGACTCCGCCATAGCTGAGATGTAGTGCTTACCCACCTTTTGCCCTACTCTTTCTAGGCACAGGCCTGTGCTTAAAAGCTCCATATGTGTGGGGTTTTCCAGCAAAAACCCACTTGGAGCAAATGTCAAATTGGATTGAGCTTTAAAGGGTGTGTTTTCATTGGGAAAGCTCTGAGGCAAAAAAAGGAAGGGTGTTTGGACATGGAGAACAGATCATGCCCGGAGAAAGCAAAAAAGAAACTAGCCTAGCTCAGATGGTAGAGAATGAGACTCATAATCTCAGGGTTGTGGGTTTGAGCCCCACGTCGCATAAAGGGTTGGACTAGATGATCCTTGTGGTCCCTTCCAGCTCTACAGTTCTATGATTCTGTGAAATGTAAGGGTCGGTGTGTCAGAATGCAGGGCACAGGTAGGCTGATATGGACAAGGTGGTTCCTAAAGTATCCTGGGCCCAAACCATTTAGAGATTTCAAGGTAATCACCAGCATTCTGCCTAGAAACAAACTGGTGCCAGTGTAATCCTTGAAGGACAGGTATAATATGCTCCTGCATGTGAACACCAACCACCATCCATCCTTGCATTCTGGGCACAACTGATGTTTCCAAAGATTTTTCAAGATAGCCCCATATTGAGCATATTGCAATAATTCAATCTAGATCAGAGGTTGGCAACCTAAGACTCAAGGGCTGGAAGCAGCCCATGAGTGTCACTTAACCGGCCCATGAGCTGCCCCTGCACCAAGCCGCCCGCTCGGCGAGTCCCTGCGTGCTGTGCTAAACCAGCGCAGCACAGCACAGGGACTCTCTTATGTGGCTCCTGAAACCGCTTCTGCACATATCCAGACTCCAGAAATTGGGTTTGTGCATGTCTACGGCAGGACGCGGGTGGCGCTGTGGTCTAAACCACAGAGCCTAGGGCTTGCCGATCAGAAGGTCGGCGGTTTGAATCCCCACGACGGGGTGAGCTCCCGTTGCTCGGTCCCTGCTCCTGCCAACCTAGCAGTTCGAAAGCACACCAGCGCAAGTAGATAAATAGGTACCGCTCTAGCGGGAAGGTAAACGGCGTTTCCATGTGCTGCTCTGGTTTGCCAGAAGCGGCTTAGTCATGCTGGCCACATGACCCGGAAGCTGTACGCCGGCTCCCTCAGCCGATAAAGCGTGATGAGCACCGCAGCCCCAGAGTCGGTCACGACTGGACCTAATGGTCAGGGGTCCCTTTACCTTTTATGTCTGCAGCACCGGAAATTGCTTCTGTACATGCCCAGATGTTGAAAATCACTTCTACACAGGCATGATATTCAGAGTCTGGGCATGTGCAGAAGCAATTTCCTGCACTGTGGACATGCACAGACATGATTTCCGGTTTCACGCTGAGCCGGTCTGGCCCATGGTGGATCTCTGCAAGAGTGATCTGGCCCATGCCTGGTAAGCCTTGCTGACCCCTGATCTAGGTGGAACTAAGGCATCTGTCACTGTGGCAAGGCCTGTTATTGTCAGAAACAAATGAAGTTGGTGCAGAGCAACCTCAGCAGAGCAAAGGGACTCATGAGTACAGCTACTACCTGAGCATCCAGGTATAAAGCTGTGTCCAGAAACACCTTAAATAATACTTTTTATCTAATCTGTGCAGGTGACCAGACTATCCTCAGATTATAAAACTACTCAATTTTGGGGATATTGCCCTTCAAAAAACGAAAACTTCACCATATTCCAGGTGCAGATATTATCAAGCGTTTGGATCCATGTTTCAGCAACATGAAAGGGCAAGCACCATATGGCGAGGTAGACTTAAGCTTGGGTTTCAGGATACAGATATATCATGAACCCTTACATCATTGCTGGAGACTAAGGTCTTTGAAGGTCTATCTTATTCCATCTTATCTTAGCACTTTTATGGTTTATGGGATGCACTGTCTCTTCATCTCATTATTAATAGGCTAGCTGAGGTTGAATACCAGCATCCCATCTTAAGAGGCTGGTGGATCACAGTGGTTCTTGTCTATACAGCTCTGTATGAATAGTGCTGGCAAGTAAATTACATTTTCAGCATTTCAGAAAAAAGTATGGATTTTATCTCACTGTTTTCAGACTGTCAATTAGCCCTGCTTTATCAAAGGCATGCTAGATGGAAACATGTTTATCATTATAATTGTGAATTAGAAAAGATGTTAGTAACATATAATTAGGAACACTCTAGGAATGCCATTTATGATGGTATGTTAGTAGCTACTTTAGCCTGGTGTTTGGTGGCTTTGTTGTTGTTTGTTTCACTGTACTTGCTGTTTAAAGGACAGAAGAAAAGCAACCACCATTCCAGGTGCAGCCAGCTACAGACACATTTTAAGACCCACTGCTTTTGAGGGGAGAGTAAATCAAGTATGTGCTCAAACTGAACACATTGAATCAGTGTGGCTCAAAAATGCTCCTTTGACAAGACTGTATGTCCCAATCTTTTATCATTTGAACTTGCATTTCATTTGAACTTGCTGAGTAGCCTCGCAAACCCATATACAAGCTCAAGATTGCAATAATGGGTTAAAACACACCTTGTTTTGTACTGGATTGTGAGCTCCATGGGAGAAGACCACAATCCTACTCACATTCAGACAAGCACGAATGGTGCTCACACTTCTTTCTGGAAGAAGAGAGCCATTCAGGACCTTAAGCATGCACAGAACAGTCGCAACACCAAAGGAGATAGTATGCATTGCCAAGAATATGTCTTAAGCATAAATTACATGAGATTTCAAGCTGACAGATATGACAGCATTGGTGGAGAATTCTTGTCTCCCACCCCTACCCCAGAGGCACTTCAAGCTTTCTTCATCGCTCTTTCTTAAAAAAGAAAGGAGAATTGGGGCTTCAAGCAGCTGCTTCCTGTTCATGCATGTGTATTGCTCTGCAGGGTCATACGGTTTTGCAGTCTCTACAGACATAATCAGATACACACAGAGGAAAAGAGAGAGAGAGAGGCACAAACACATACACAGAGCCTGGAGACATTGGCTAAGCAGGTGAATGGAAAGGTCCTACCCGGAACATTTAAGAGTCTAGGCTACCAGATTTGTTTCAATGAATCCAGGGACACTTTTCAACTTCAATGGATTTTGTATGGGTACTGATTTGTAAATCTGGGGACTGTCCCTGGGAAACAGGGACATCTGGTAACCTTAGTTTAGGCTAGTCCCACTAGTCCACACACCACTGATATTTTTATTTATTTATTTATTTTGGACAGTAGGCAGTTCCTACATACACTTACCCCTAACAACCAATAGGCAATACAGTGCTACCTTAGTTCTCAAACTTAATCTGTTCTGGAAGTCTGTTCGACTCCCGAAACTGTTCGAAAACCAAGGCGCAGCTTCCGACTGGCTGCAAGAGCTTCCTGCACTCAAGCGGAAGCCGCGTCGGATGTTCGGCTTCCGAAAAATGTTTGCAAACCAGAACACTCACTTCAGGGTTTGTGGCATCTGGGAGCAGATTTGTTCAGCAACTAAGCCGTTCAGGAACCAAGGTATCACTGTATCAGAGTTCAAGGACAGATTCTGTCCAGACAAAACACTTGGGGTACAAGGGTAGTGATTGGTGTAGCCTGGGAAAAGTTCTGAGGGTCAGATGGAGAATCTTGGAGAGCCTCATTTGGCCACTGGACCTGAGACTCCCTCGTCCTCCATATGTGCATGGACTTGAGCTCCTTGAAGCCCCAGGCTCCTTTGGGAAGAAAGGTGGGTTATACAATTAATAAACCAGCAATTAAATAAAAAAATATTTTAATACATTATTATTCATGGCCATTTTTGTGCTTCCACAACCACCATCACACCTGTTATGTTTCAGCTCCCAATCTGCCAATTCAATCCTGTTTAATTTATCAGTAAGGTTATCACAGGGAAGTTTTCCTCCCAATCAACAAGATACTGTTTGCACAGAGAGTGCAAACAACTCTATGAGATAATTCGCTCATGCATATTCATCACTTGATGACTGCAGCATCAAAGGTTTGTGACTTGCATGTGTGAATGAGCCAACACAGATCGATCTTCGGAGTCAGTTCGCACATTTAGCTGCATGACATCAAGCATTAAATAAATTAGGTAATGAGAAATCAAGTGGTAAACATGCATGTCAAAACTCCCTTATAATGCAATAATTGAAACCAACATGTGATATACACGTGTGATGTTTTATGTGGGGTGGATGGAATAACAGATGCTGGAATCCTATGCTCACGCACCTGGAAGTGAGCCCCATTGAATTCAGTAAATATTACTTCTGTGTAGATATGCATGTCAAAAAGCAGTTTGGCTGCTATTCTGACTAACTGTTTCCATTGAAATCGATGCAATTTTATTTTGCAAAAAGTAATGAGCCATACCTAAAATTGATTAATTTCAGTGTGAGAAATGTGCAGCCTAACTCCTGTGTATATTTCCTCACCAGCGAAGCTGTGTACACACTCTGCATTTGGAAAGTGGTGTGCACAGGACATACACAATCTGTATCGTTCCTTTAACTATCCTTAATTTCTTGTGAAACACTGCATTTTGATGTGGTTTCCCCAGTCTCGACCTGAATTGAGAAAAAGAATGACCTAACTGCATTTTAAGCCAATAATATGTATAAAGCCTATGTCTGACAGTTTGGCTTGCCACCAACTAGGTGTGCATAGGTTTGCAACCTCCTGAAAATTCAGGCTCTCTCACTGAAATCAATGACATTTAAATATGTTTCTCTCTCGATTGGCTCATGCCCAGAATTCTGAAATCTGTAAAGGCTCCTACGAATGAGAATGAATAGCAAAAAAAGGAGCTTGTGATTTCCTCCATCGCTACCTGTAGGTGACCTAGAAATGTAGCAATTTTCTTCTAGTTTGTTGCAGATGATGGTTAGAATGTAGGCATATCTTCTCCCTTCTCGTCATTATCTATAAGAAACAGCTATTTCTATATGAAATAAAAACAGACAGCTCCCTGTCCTGGAGGCTCGCAGTCTAAAATGGGAAAAGTGAATGGAGAGACGAAGGGACACGGAAACAAAAACAAGATGCCATAAACATGAATATAAGTCCCTAATCAAATCCCCTCATTTATTCTCAGTCTGCCTTCTCTATTCAGGTGCCCTCCAGATGTTCCAGCTGCAGCTCCCATCAATCCAAAGCCCACACAGTACAAAACATCTGGAGAACACCAGGCTGGGGTCAGCTGACCTAGGACTTTCTCTGTATGAAAATTCACAATTCATATCCTCAGATGTCTTACAAAGATGCAGCCAGAAGGGCTTAGCTGAAATTAGCAAAGGAGAGCTTGCATCTCCC